CACTACTTCCTACTTTATTTAACTCCAAATTGCTCTTATTGTAATCAATATGAAAGCACTGAACATTTATTCCAATGCTTACTTCATACTTACAATCTACAAAACATTTTTATTAACAAAACTACTAATATCTTAAGCTCCTTAAACTTCTTAAAAGCTACACCACACACTATAATTCAAATTCTTAACTTACAAAATTACTATTCAAATTTTACTATATATAATTCAATACTTTTACTTATTCAAGACACAATTATACTTGACCAATATAAACAACTTCAACTAATTCTAAAAAAACTAACTAACAACTTTCTTATCTTCTTATCTAATTCTCTATTCAACTGGTTCAATCTTACTATCTGGCAAACTCATAATATTAAATAACATGAATAGGAATCAGTATAAGGAATTACAACTCTTACTAAAAGGAAAAATAATACCTGTTTACCAATTATATAACCTTCTAACTTCAATAACAATATATTTGCATTCAATACCAATATAGACCAATTTATTCTTAAAACTCTTTCTAAAATTTCACTATATATACCTACTTTTACTAAATTAAAATAATCTTAAGGGTTTCTTTTACCCTCCTTTGTAGTTAATAATTACAATAGTAGATTTAACTAAAACAAAAAATTAAAGGTTAATATTATACTAAATATCATTATATATATAGCAACAATAGTGTAGTTTAGGAATATTTCATTTATACATTTATATTTAATTGATATACCTATGTATTACTATTTTTCCTACTTGATATTATATAAATAAAAAAAAAAATCATATAGAATTAGTATAAAAAATTTTTAATATTTTTTTTAATAATATCTTAACAACTATATATCTAAATCAATAATTTTTTTTATTTGTATTTCACAGATTTGTAAAATTTAAATAAAAAAAATTTATTGAATTTAATTAAGTGATTACTAAGATATCATCAATAGAATTTAATTTTTCAAATTTTAAAACATTTATCATATAATATTTGTATTAAAATTTTTAATAAACTTTTAATTATTTAAATTTGATAAAAATTTTTTTATTTGAATTCTACAGATCTGTAAAATTAAAATAAAAAAGTTTTCATCAAATTTGATCAAATAGTTATTAAAATATCTTTAATTAAAATTATTTTCAAAATTTTAAAACATCTATTATATAATACTTATATCAAAATTTTCATTATAACTTTGATTGAAGATATTTCAGCAACTACTTTATTAAATTTGATAAAAATTTTTTTATTTAAATTCTATAAATTTGTAAAATTTAGATAAAAAAAATTTTATCAAATTTGATCAAATAGTTATTGAGATACCTTTGATCAAAAGTTTTCTAAATTTTAAACTATTTATTACAAAAAATTATGTCAAATTTTTATTACAAATTTGATCAAAGATATTTTGACAACAACTTGATCAAATTTAATAAAAATTTTTTTATTTAAATTCTACAGATCTATAAAATTCAAATAAAAAAATTTCATCAAATTTGATCAAATGGTTGCTGAAATACTTTTGATCAAAGTTATTTTTTCAAAATTTAAAATATTTATCATATAATATTTGTATCAAAATTATTAACAAACCTTTAATTGAAGATATCTCAGCAATTATTTGATCAAATTTGATGAATTTTTTTTATTTAAATTCTACAAATCTGTAGAATTTAAATAAAAAAATTTTATCAAATTTGATCAAGTAATTGCTAAAATATCTTTAATTGAAAGTTTATTAAAAATTTTAATACAAATATTATATGATAAACATTTTAAAATTTGAAAAATTAACTTCTATTGATAATATCTTAGTAATTACTTAATTAAATTCAATAAAAATTTTTTTATTTAAATTCTACAGATCTGTAAAATACAAATAAAAAAAAATTTATTGAATTTAATCAAGTGATTGCTGAGATATATTTGATTAAAGTTTTATTAAAAATTTTGATTTAAGATTTTTTTCTAAGTTATTTTGAAAATTAAACAAATTTTAATTAAATATGTCTTAACAATTATTTTATTAAATTTAATAAAAAATTTTTTGTTTGAATTATAAAGATTTGTAGAATTTAAATAAAAAAAATTTCATTGAATTTGAATAAATAATTGTTAAAATATAATTAAAAAAAATTTTAAAAAAATTTAAAATTTTATTATTGTTTTGATGATTTTTTTATGTGATCTGATTGGTCAATCATAAGGGTCACCATGATGACAGGTCACCATAAACTAACACCCAAAAAATAATATAAAAGTTATGTTTGTTAATTGACTATGTAGTTCAATAATTATCTATCTGTTGACACTATGTGCTGACAATATAGTTTCTAATTAGTTAACTGCCACATAAAAAATCCCATACTTTTCTAAAATTCGGCAAGGTTGAGGTTAGGGTCAAACTTAGAATCTAGAAAGTGATAGTTTATATAGTAAAATTTTTCAATGAAACTTGATTTTTGAGCTATGAGCGATTTTGGCAGAACAAACGTTAGTTTCTTAACCTAGTCTTGAAATCAGGAAATCTGTACCACCAACATTGTACACATTACGATATGCCGCAATTCTTCAATGTGTTCCAGGTTTGTGGCGTAGTTTTCCTGAACTACGAATCAATTTGCAAGATCAGGCGAAAGTAAAACGATCAACGTCCGTTTTGTCAAAAATCGCTTACTTCTCAATAATCAGCATAAGAATTCACCTTTAATGCTCTAATAAAAAGTTTTCGTCAAACAATTTTACTATACAAACTATTTCCCTCTGATTCCAAATACTGACCTTAACCCTAACATAAACGAACTTTAAAGAATTTTTGCTGCGCCACAAACCTGAAACACATTGAAAAATTGCCGTTTATTATTTATAATATTACATATGTTATAACACTATACAACTATACGTACTGTACGCGAAAAAAAAATTCATGTATAATATATTAAGTTACGTCTAATTGACGTTATAACTTCGCCATATGTCTTCACCTATACTACACTCGTTACCCTTTAGATATGTTACCCTTTAGTTGTATGAAATCTATACATTACAGATTACATTGGGGCTTTGATATTTATACTACGATTATAATCTTACAAGCAATATGACTAATTAGAGTATCAGAAGAAGGTAATTCTATGATTACAATGAGGAATTTTATACACATTTACATGACTATGATTTAATTACCAACAGAGGCGCCTTACTATTGTCCTCAGTGGAGCATCGCCTCGAGCAAAACCCGAATTAACATTATTAAATGCCTTCGCTTTTGTAGATCAATGCGCATTTCGGGTCCCGAGTCATATGGCTTGGATCACGTTTTCGGTAACTACGGTCGGATCAGATTTCACGTTAAAATTTTATTTATTAAACCTTCCATATAATCAACTAAATTTTATTATTTATATGAAGTAGGAACCTGCACGGGCCTAAAAATTTAAACTTTTGCCGGCCCGCTCGGCCCACAAAATAAATTTTCTTATGTTTTTTAAAACTTCGTTTACCCGCAATTTTATGAGCTTTAAATTTTGGCCCGGCCTGTGCAGGCCTCTAATATGAAGTTAGATTGTAACGGTAACTGCAAAAGTAAACAAATCTTTAAACTAGTATCTCAGAGTTTATAAATTAACATTGTATAAAGGGTAAATTTTAATTTGCCTGAAATCAGGTTTCGAAATCAGGTTTAGAAATCAGGTTTCGAAATCGGTTCTTGAACCTGATTAGAAGAAGTTTGTAACCAGATTCTAAAAACTGATTCTATTTGTAGCCGGTTCCAAAACGAGATTAGAACTTGTTATTATTAATTAATAAAAGGTTGTAAAATAAAACCTAAACTAATAGCGTTTTACCGCACTTTTTCTAATAAATCTGATTTATTTTTTCAATAAAATTCAGTGCAAATCATTACGGGATAGCTTACCCAAATAAATCAAAATATCTAGGCATTTTCAAATATTTAAGAATTTTCTGTGCGTTTTTATAGAGTTTTCTATTTTTATTGGTTAGCAATGGGTATTAGATTTTGATTTTCTTGACCGCATAAGACCGAAGTTTTGATTTAATGTTAGGATTTGTGTGTATTTTGTTTTGATTTTACGTTACGTTGCACCTAATCTTGAAATTTGATTTGACCGGACAGCTAAATTTTTTAGATCGATAACGCCTCCGACGGCTGGGCTTTTTTAACGCCATACATACACAGTCAGAAATTCGTTTGATTGGCTGATGTAAATCAATTGCACGGGTAACTTATTTATACAATTTAGATTATACTTTTTTGAGAACATACCGTTTTACTAAAAGATGCTAATTGGTTTATCGGCTTTATTGATTAACCGGTTTTATTATAATTAATATACAAGCTGATCAAACCATTTTGGCATCTCGATGTTTGTGTTTACGTACAGTATTTTCATCAATTTTTGAAGATTGAGAATCGAAAATAGAATTATTTAATTTTTTAAAAAAAGTAAAGTTTCGTTAATAATTTATTTGAATTAAAGATTGTAACCGCTAGGAAAATTTCTACTCGGGTAATTTATTACAGTTTATGCATACTATATAATAAAAATTTCTACCGGATATATAAAAGCGACAAATTTACAAAGACTATAAATTAAATCAGGGTTATTAACCAATCAAATTAATTAAAAATATTCAAATATCGATGTTGACATATTTGAATACAACATTGTATAATTAATTTGATTGGTAAATAATCACGTTTTAATCTTAATTTTCGTAAATTCTACGTACGTGTTATAATTAAATCGTTGACGAAATTAAAAACGTGTTTTCTAAAAGTCAACAGACGACTATAAATAATGGGTTATATACAATAAAAAAAAACAATTTTATTTCATGAATAAGCCAAAAAAATATACAACGTTCAAAATTTCAAATATTATGCTACGTATATATTAACGATTACATACTATATAATTTTGTTATTTTTTTTTTTCTTTTTTACAATTATAAAATATTATAAAAATATTTAAAATCTGATGTTTAAATGTAAAGTTTTGCTTTTAAGAGCCTTTTTAATTTCGTTTTTTGCATCTTGATCAAATTGATTAGACGTTAAATCTAGTCTTCGAAGAGTTTTGTTATCGAATAAAGCACTAGATATAACGCTTGATAATTCAGAACCAAAGTTATTTCTACTCAAATCCAAATCGGTAAGTTTTTTGTTCAATCCTAAAGCTTCAAATAAAACTTTTCCATTTTCAGGTTCATACATAATAATTTTACTTAGATATAGATGAGTAAGTGCGTTATTTGTTTTTAAAGCGTTTGCCAAAGATTCTATCTCATCTGAATTGAAATCTATATCATTTAAGTTCAATCTAGTGAGTGCCTTGTTTGTTTCTAACGTTTTCAACAAGGGAGACATTGAAGCGCCATTATTACTTAGATCTAGATCTGAGAGTATGAAGTTTGTTTGTAAAGCTTTTGCCAAAGCACTTACTGCAACAGCACGAATATTACAATTACTTAAATTTAAGCATTTGAGTGTTCGATTTGTTTCCAATGATTTTGCAAGTTCTCGTCCAATTTGTCCAGCACTAGTAATATTGCTTAAATCCAAACTCCTAAGATGCGTATTTTCTTCTAAAGCTTCTATTAAACTTCCTATTGCTTCACTACTAATTTCATTACGACTCAAATTTAAACACCGGAGTTTGGTTTTATTCGACCTTAATAATACTGATAATGATATTACCATATCAGAACTAATCTTTGTCGACTTTAAATTAATACTTGTAATGTTGCTATTAGTTAAAATGTTTATTAAAAGATCTTTTAATTCAGAAACGATACCATTATCACTCAAACTCAATTCGTTAATGAATTTGTTCATAGTCAAAGCTTTTGCTATACTCTTTCCAGCCTCGAGACGAATGTAATTAGAGCCTAAATCAAGTTTTTTAAGAGTTTTATTCTTTTCTAATGCCTTGGCCAAATTATTGACTTTTAAAGCACTATTCCTGTCGTAAGAGTATCTACCCGTAATACTTATTCTTCCTTCTCTCTCTAATGAATCTAACGTCGAACTAATCTTGTTGCAACTCAAATTTAAAGACTTTAGAGTTTTATTTGTTGCCAAGACTTCAGCTATTATACGTTCTGATTGATATGTAAGATTATTTGAACTTAAATTTAATACTTTAAGTTTCTTTGATCTTGACAAATATCTTTTCATTTTTTCTAAATAAACATGATTAAGATTAGAATTACTTAAATCTAAATTTTCAAGTGTTCGGTTGCCTTCTAAATGAACAAATTTTACATCAGCCCATTCAATAGGATTTTCGCTCAAATTTAAGGTTTTAAGAGTTGTATTTTTTCCCAAAGTTTCTATTATAAGTCTTGCTTTTTTACCAAGTTTTTCACCGTTCTTACTTAAATTCAAATCGGTAAGACGAGTTTTATTGGATCTTAAAATCTTCATCAAGAAAACCGTTATCTCAGGTTCCAAATTAGTCGAACTTAGATTTAAGAAAGTTAAGGTATTATTTGTTTCTAAAACCTTCATAAGAGCTTTTCCTAATGCCGGACTAATATTATTTTCGCTTATATCTAAACTATTAATAGTTTTGTTTTCTTTTAAAACTTTTAACATAAGTTTTCCTGTTTCAGTATCAAGTTTTTTGTAACTAAAATCTAAATCGTTATTCTCAGTACTTGATCTTAAATGATTTGTATGAACACTTTGACCTATTTCACCTAATTCATCATCTTCTATTAATGCAACGTACCAACAAAGTTCAGGAGTTTCTGAATAATTTTCATCATTATCATCCTCATTAATAGAATCATTTTCGTTTTTCTTTACACTAATATTAACATTAATGGTTTTTTCATGACAACCTTTAACTTTTGCCATAAAATATTGTTTGTAATTTGATTTAGGATATTTGAATGATGTAATAAGAACTGCATTTGGTTGTAAAACTTCACGAGTTTTTAATTGAACATCGCAACTTTCTATTCCTGTTTCTTTTGTTTTTGGAGTAAATTGACATTTACCACCACTTAAAATGGAGAAATTTCGTGTATTCGAATCATAAACACCAATTTCAGCTGGTATACCAATTAATACCCAAGTTATTTGTAAACCATTAGACGGTCTCTCTCTAAATAAAAAGAAAAAAGTGATTAATAAAATATATATAATAACGATTTGAAAAAATAACAAATAATATAATAAAAAAAATAACTTACGGTGAAAAGATATCAATTATAGCTGAAAATCCAGTCGTCTCTTTTGATATAAATTTAACATTAGCATTATCAAATGGAGCACCAGTTTGTAATAAGATTCTACCGAAAATTTGATAATTATTTGATTCTAAAGGTGATTCGAAATTTACAGGGTAAATATAATTTGAATCTTCAATTACTATTATACCAGATTTAAGAACTTTTTCTTTAATTCCAGTATTAATAGTTTGTTCATCAATTCCAAGGAAAACTTTAACGTCTTGACAAACATCTTCATCCAATATTTCATATATTGGATATAAACCTTCCCAACCAATAATATTCCATGATTCAGGACCATTTTTTAAACAAGCGATTGCCCATTCTTTAATATTATTATTTCCTTTAATGGATTTACCATTAATAGTATTTAATGATAAAGAATCAATGTTTGTAGATTTTGTAAGTTTCGCCCATTGTTTAATAATTTCATTATAATCACCAGTCTTTTTTGAAAAATCATCGATTGTCTTAATTTCTTTAATAATTTTTACTTCAGTAGATTTTTGAGAAGTTGAAGGAATTTTGGAAATTAAAGATAATTTATCACCAAGTAAAATCTTTCTAGGTAAAAAGTGACCGAATTGATTAAATACTTTAATCAATTCACGATAAGGATTTTTTTGATCGAAAGCATTATCAATAGCACCAAGAAATATTTCACTAGGTTTCATTGAACCTTTTTCAAAAATAAGTTCAGCTTTTAAACATTTAATTTCTAAATAAATGTCATTAACTTGTGATTTGTTGATTAAAGAATCGATATCTATTTTAGATGCCCAATTAAGATTATCTAAATCAATAGCGAGTGAACCAATAGAATTTTCTAATAAAAATGAATCTTTAGATTTTGATGAAAGTGATAATTTTGTTTGAAATTTTGTATCTATAGCTTTTATTCTTGGTTTTGGTAAAGCACAAGGAAGAATATCTAAAAATTGTAATTTTTGTGATTTGATGGTTAAAGCAAAAGCCAAATTTTTGCTTATCGTTTCTGGTATTTTAATAATTGGACTATTTGGTTTTTCTGATGGATTACCACTTTCATTATCTGATGGTTCATCATTATCTGATTGTAAATCCTCTTCTGATCGTATATCTTCAAAATCTTTATTTCCAAAACTATCAGATTTATCAGATTTATCTGATGGCATTTCATTATCTGATGGAAAATTATCGTCTAATGATTCGGATGGTTCTAATGGTTTCATATCATCATCTTCACATAATGATTTCATATCATCATCTTCACCCAATGGTTCATCCAATGGTTCAAGAGATGGTTTAATCGATGGTTTAACAAATGGTTTCGTGTTATCATCTTTAATTAATGGTGATGGTGGATTGGTATTATGATCTTTAATTAATGGTGGTGGTGTTAGATTCGTATTATCACCTTTAATTATTAATGAATTCATATCATCTTTAATTAATGGTGGTGTTAGATTCGTATTATCATCTTTAATTATTAATGAATTCGTATTATCATCATTAATTAATGATTTTGTGTTATCATCATCAGGTAAATGAGGAATAACCTTTATAATTGAAGAATCAATTATATTTGATGATTTAAATTGATTAGATTCATTTACTTTATTAATCAAATCATCGACTTCATTAATAGTTTCATCAGATTCTTCAGGTATTCTATAAGTTTCTCTTTTTGTAATTGAATTCGGAGAAACAAAAGATTTAAAATTTGAAGTATCAATTGAAGGTTCATTCATATAAATAGAAGCTTGATTATTTAAAGTACTAGCAGCTGTTTCATATATATCATCAGATGTAGTAGAATTAACCGACCAATTTGAATTAATTGAAGAAGATCTTGGAGTTTGAGTAGGAATAAATTGTTGTTCATCATTTTCAGGAAAAGATAAACTTGTAGGAGATTGAGTCATATAAGTATCTACAAGTACATTTTTATCAGGATTTGAATCAATTTCATCACGTTTTTTTAATAAAATACTTCGATTAATATTATTATTAATCTTTATCGATTTTTTAATTCGATTATTTGGATTAATTGGTGATGGTGATGAAACGGTCCTAGTACGATTACGTGGACTTGAAAGTTGATCAAGTTGATCAGCTGAATGAGCAGAACAAGTTGAATTATTTCTCTTGGGTTTAGTAAGTTCGGTTTCAATATCTAAAAATCTTAATAGAATATCATCCATTTTGATTCTTTTTTCTGGTTTACCATTCCATCCTATATATAATATATGTTATAAAATAAACGTTTAGTTATGATATGAATAAAGAAAAATCGAGGTATATAAAAGTAAAGTAATATATAAAATTTAATAAATTGATATTAATAATACCTTCTGCAATGATTCTCAAATATTTTCTTTGAATATTAAGGAAATCCAAGGAATAAAAAGGAGGGTCAGGAGATTCTCTACGATTCTGAACAACATGAACTCTAATATCTTTTTCTTCCATGTCTTTATAAGGGATTCTTTGGAAACCTAGCTCCCATAAAAGCATTACGAAACTATATAATAATAATAATATAATATTAACATAATTATTAATATAATTATTAATAAAAGTATTGATATAACTTATAATTTAAAATTTTAAATATGAAAAAGAAATAAAATACCTGAAAACTTCAGACTCCCGTGTATATAAAGGATTATCTTGCATCATTTCAGGAGCCGCCCAATTAATTATTTGTGAAATATATTCCGAGATATGATCATCATTATCAGGACTTATATCCGAAGCATGTTTGGCAAGATAAAAATTTGTGATCTTTGGTTCCATATAGTAAGTCATCTACGATGATAAACGATGATCGGAAATTGATCAACAGCAAAAAGAAAATAAGAAATAAGAATATATTTTAAGAATATATTTAAAGATAATATTTTTAAAAATAATTTTAATAAACTTACAACTATATTTTCACATCGAAGATCACGATGAAAGATGTCAGTATGACTTAAAAATATTAAGCCTTGACAAATGTCACGTGCAATTTTGACTTTTAAATCCCACGAGATTTTTTTCCTTTGATAAACATTCCTTAAACTACCCAAACCAGCCCATTCAAATACCAACATTTCATTTTCATCAACAGTTGAAATTCCATAAAATTTAAGGATATTTCGACTATCATCAAATCTTTTTAATTCGGTCAAAATTGACATATTCTTTTCGAAAATTTCAAGAGGTTCACAAGCAACTTCTATACCACGTTTAAAAATTTTTCTTACGACATATTTCATTGGAGTATCATCATCTAAATAAGATGATGGACCTCTGTATAGTTCACAAGCTCGATCTACATCGTCTTTAAAAGGAGGATCAAGTAATAATGAAGAATCGATACGTGGAACACTGATGATATCTATAAAAGAACTTTGAAGTAATTTTTCAACTATATCTTCAATGTCGGATATGATTTCAGGTTTATTATCAGTAGGAATTTTAGTTTTTAAAATCTATAAAAAAAAAAATAATAAAATAAATAAAGAGAGTTATAATAATATTTAACGTAAAGCGTAAAAAATATATATATATATATATGATACCTCATTGATTTTTTTAAAGTCATCATATTGACATTCTTGTTTATTCATTATAAATTTAATCAGGATAGGATTTAATTTTTTTTCACAATTTTCATGTTCTTTAATCAATCGTTCATATTTTTCTTTTACATGCCTATAAGGATAAAAGAAATGATTCTTCTTTTCAATGTTCGCTATTTCTTTTGCAAATTCTTTTATATTTTCTAATGAAGTTTTATATTTTTTAAAAATATCTTCGTATTGACGAAAATAAGATTGAACTTCATGTTTAATGTAATGTAATGCTCGAACAGTTTCATATGAAGAATAAAGAACGGGGTCAAAGATTTTTTTACTTTTAAGATTTGTTGTTATAGTTTTAATTTCATTGATTAAAGTAGAACTTGCATCTACGCAAGAAATTTGAGAAGTATTTTCAGGATATATAATTGGTTGAGCCATGGAAAGAATAATAAAGAGAATAAAGAGAATAAAGAGAATAAAGAGAATAAAAAGAATAAAGAATCTTTGTTTAAAAATATAAAGAGTTCTTTCTTTTTCTTAGTTGGTTAATTAGTTTAATTAGTATATAGTTAGAATATGCAAAAGTGAAAAGCGAAAATTTTTTTTAAAATCATAAAGCAAATTTTTTTTTAAAAAAAATCTCGCAAAAATTCCCCTTAAATATGCATACTGCAAAAAAAAAAGGATGTTAAGCGACACATGGTTGCATGCGAGTATAAAGGCTTGTCGTCACTTGTACATGATAATCCTTTGTTTATCTTTGTTTACCAATACAAGGTCATAGGTTACGTATTATGTTTTGAAACTCATCTAAAAAAATCCAATATAATAAAACAACAAATTAGTAAATACGTACCTTCCCCTAGGATTTCTTTAGTAAATACTAATATATATAAGTACAACCATGAGTATAGAACTAAAGTTTCATGAAGGAAGAGAGAATAAAAACTTGAAAAGGAACCAGATTACAATCGACATATACTAGCCTAATCAGGACACAATTGAACAATTTTCTCGCTTGTAAAAAAGTCAAAGCCGAAATCAATTTTTACACATTTTTTTTTTTTTTATTAAACGAATAATTTAAAAAGATAAAATATATTGGTTAACTAAAAAAAAATCTTGAAATTTTATTTAAAAGGAAATATTAGTCAACTTGATGTATGAAAGTATGCATGCAAGTACTCCAACATATAAAAAGTACGTCAAATTTTCATAATTCTAATTGGAGTCTTGCTATCTCGAATTTTTACGAATTTCTAATAAAAATTCTTTTTCCGATTTAACTAGATTTGGATTTATAATATAATATAGCATGCATAACAATTAAATAAAATGAAATATATAGGAAAGTATTAACATCCTCTCCGATCTCTGATCTTAATAAACTGACACTACTCCTAATTTAAAAATCCGTAATAAAAAAATTTGAAACAAACCAAACAAACCACGTTAAATTTATATAAAAATAGTCAAAATCATTTATTTTTAAATATTCATCACTAATTACTCTTACGTACTGTACATACGTACGTACGTACGTATGTAGTATGTGTAGTATGTATAGTATGTGTACGTACGTAGTGTGCATAAGTAAATATAAGTAAATGCAAATATCTAAGTAAAATTACATACCTAAGTATGTACATACGTTTTTACTTATTTACTTATTTATCTATTTTTCTACTTATTTATGTACTTTTCTAATTATTTATCTGCACATCTACGATAGTGTTACCACTCATAGTACAATATCCCACAGTACGTATTCACAACATGTACGTGTTAACAGGGATGTATTCACAATAACCGTAATAACCACAATATCCTACAGTATATTCAAATAATATGTACATAATATTATATTCATAATCATATTATAATGGAATGGGACATGTGAGTATTTTCTCGCATTTTACATATGTTAAAGAAAGATAGCGTACGCCAATCATTATTGTTGCTGAATCACTATAATTCTAAAAGTTCACCTCTTGGATTAGGTTAACTCTGGCAAAGCGAATAATTGGTGTGAAACATAAACAAAACTAAAATAATGCCAAGGTAGATTATTGTCATGACTAAATTTGGATACAGTTGGATACAGTCGGATACAGTCAGTGTGAATTTAATTGTACAAGTTACAAAAAAGAATTATTTGATTGGTATTGTATTCTATAAAGTATAATAAACAAGTATGATAAAAACTTTAGAAATATCAAATATCACATCGCAGTGATATATTTACGCCACTAACTAAATTTTATATGAATGGGAGAAACATCAATCTATATATTTAGAAATCTATGCATAAATAGTGGCACAATGAAAACAAATTTCCTGATTCAAAAGCCTCAATCGGCTGCAAGAAATCCTGGTTCCTCAATCTCTGCATAAAAATAAATACGCCGAACAAATATATTAAGCAACTATTCATTCAACTACTTCAACTACTTCAACTAACAGTAGTAGGTATACATCAAAACTATTCATACCTATTCATTGTGTATACTCAAATAAGCCATTTTATTAAATTGACATTTTTAGCTTATCTTCAATGGGTTAATCTATACGTATAAAATATCTAATATCGATACTGTATAAATATCTAATATCGATACTGTATAAAAAAATATCATGAATTTTTTTATACCGTACCATACGTACCATATGTACCATTCGTATGTATATACGTACATACGTAGCCATTTCTAACTTGTGCCTGCAATTTGAAAATTCTTGAAACCATGTAACACGAAGCAGATAAATGCATTCAGTATCATAAGGACAAAATTAAAGTAAATATGTACATACGTTAAAACTCTAAATAATTTATTTAGTATTCTTGACCGGAGATGAAAAATTCACCATATATTTATTTTTATTATGAATTTATAAAAAAAAATCAAACTTTAAATTTAAAATTAGGTCTCGGATCACACAATCAGCTTTTTGGTATTACAAACAACCAATTATTTGTGCAATTTTTTTTATACATATACAGTATAACATACATAAATACGTGTGCTTAGCATATGCATATCGCTTGATTTGATTTTTTTTTTAGATATATTGTTGCATAAAAGTTTTTCTCTTACCCAATGTTAAAAAAGTAACTTCATAATCAATAAAAATAGCTTTCTAATACGTAAGTACGTACATATAAAAGATAAACGGGTGTGATAATCTGTAACAAGATGCATCATCACTGATTGTTGAGATGTTTTGGGTGTTTAAGGGTCATTTAACTTTGAACGATCTGTTGACTGATTTGCTGTTAAGTGATTTGTAAGGGTGGATCCGAATTTAAAGTCTCAAGATAATGTTCCTTTAAACTTATTTTTAGCTTATAGAAAGGGTCATCCTTAGGAAATTCATTTTGTTAACCAAAAAATTCATTTGTTAATCTTGAATTTCACTTACCTGTTACGTACGTACGTACGTACTTACGTATAATACTTACGATAACGATAAGCATTAAATCTTCCAACAAAAAAAAATTTTGCAAAATTGCGTTCTATCGTTTAGTAGATCTATTCTGTTTCGGGCATACTATTTCTGACAACTTAGAGTTTAGCGTTAGTGCAATTTATTTATGACAGTGTTAATTGGTATATTACAATTAACAATTATTAGTAATTAGTAAATCAAACTGTTGATATCTACTATTTATTGATCCTTGCGTAGCATGGATTTTTTTTACTCTGTCTATCTATGGAGACGCGCTAAAACATTGTAGTTTCATAATGTTACCACTCATTTCCCTGACTGTTAGTTTGGTTGTCGGGAAATACAAATTCGTCGTCAGGTTAAAATTAATTAAATACGGGTTTTGATAAGGTTGGATTTACTTACTGTTTATGTATATGAAACATTAAATACGTATCAATAATAAATACTAGAACGCCTATCTGTTCGATACTAGAAACACTACTGTTTCATTATCATAGCGATAACCAAAAAATCCTTTTAATTAAAATTAAACTTTTTATGCATTGATAATGTAATACGTATATATGTCACGCCTGAAATTATCACTTGACTAACTTTTGGCTGAAGCTGCAATTCCAAAGAACTTGAAGTCTAAAGTTGCAATCTTAGATTCCTGTTATGATTACAGATACCTTCTGCTAAACGTATTAATGTTATCATTCTCATTGATTTACAAATTCGAGCATCTGAACTTTATTACTAATGGAAAAATTATACGTAACGATAATAATAATATTTAAATATATACTTTTATGTGTAATACGGCCGATATGTTAAATATTTAATACTTACTGGCCAAAATTATGCATTCATTTCTTAAATGATCTTCTTTTCTTTGATATTTTCCTTATAAATCATTGATGGGAAAATTATTATCATGCACATGAATGCGCATGAATGTCCGCGCTTTAATGCATATCACCCCATCTTTAGTCCCCTGTCCTATATTTACTTACTAATGTACGTACATACGTACATACAAACTTGTTTTCTAATTCTTTGAATTTTCTTTTCATCCAGATAAAATGGTATCCTTGTTTGTTATGGACGAAATTGGTTGAACACAAAAAATTAAATTTAAACATTATTAAGCAACTATGTGATGTCATCATACTAAAAAAATCTGAAACAAGAATACGTTTTAAATCGTTATATGTTAATATATGTTGGGAAAAATTAAATCAAAAATCAAATTTAAAATAAAATTACGCGCCATAGTACGTAAATCTTTACGGGGTGCATTTTCTTTTTTTTTTTTTAGGCTTCTGGTTTGTATTAGAATTTAGTACGTTAATAGAATATTATAAACATGTTTTAAAAAAAAAGACCCTAAACTTTAATTTTTTAATTAACAAATATTTGCATTAAATATTAAATATTAAATATTATATAAATTATACGTATAAATTATTAAATATATAAAGATATAAATTACTCTTTTGTATATGTACTACATATGTATCTAGGTATTTTTCATTTAAAAGCACAGCGTGTAAATAAAACTGTCAACAAATATAATTCCTGGACCCCTGTCTTACTTATCTGTCATACGTAGTACGGCCATTTTGTTTAATAAATTGTTTAGTATACGTATTATTTCATATTCTAAATTCCGTCTTTAAAGGTTAATTGAACTAGAGATAATTATCAAATATATAGTTAGATATATATAGTTGATTTTCTTTATAACCTAATATTATTTTTGTTATTCTAAGCTTTAACCCTACTTTTAAAATTCAAAAAAGTTATTTCAGATTTATAAATTAATTTAATTTATAAAATTTACCTGCTTATTATAGTTAACTTTATATATATTCTCCTCTATAATTACTCAGTCCGTATCATGCAAGTTGTGTGATTGTATAAAGGTTTTTATTATAGTGTGCTTATAAAGAGATGTTTTTTTATAAGTTATTAGTAAAGTGTTACAGGTTTTGGCATGATTATTT